CTATGTTTTCCTCTAAGTGTTTGATAGTTTCTGGCCTTACATTTAGGTCTGTAATCCATTTTGAGCTTATTTTTGTGTATGGTGTTAGGGAGTGATCTAATCTCATACTTTTTCATGTATCTGTCCAGTTTTCCCAGCACCACTTATTGAAGAGGCTGTCCTTTCTCCACTGTACATTCCTGCCACCTTTATCAAAGATAAGGTGTCCATATGTGCGTGGGTTTATCTCTGGGCTTTCTATCCTGTTCCATTGATCTGTCTTTCTGTTTTTGTGCCAGTACCATACTCTTTTGATTACTGTAGCTTTGTAGTATAGTCTGAAGTCAGGGCACCTGATTCCTCCAGCTCCATTTTTCGTTCTCAAGATTGCTTTGGCTATTTGGGGTCTTTTGTGTTTCCATACAAATTGTGAAATTTTTTGTTCTAGTTCTGTGAAAAATGCCAGTGGTAGTTTGATAGGGATTGCATTGAATCTGTAGATTGCTTTGGGTAGTAGAGTCATTTTCACAATGTTGATTCTTCCAATCCAAGAACATGGTATATCTCTCCACCTATTTGTATCATCTTTAATTTCTTTCATCAGTGTCTTATAATTTTCTGCATGCAGGTCTTTTGTCTCCCTAGGTAGATTTATTCCTAGATATTTTATTCTTTTTGTTGCAATGGTAAATGGGAGTTTTTCTTAATTTCATTTTCAGATTTTTCATCATTAGTTTATAAGAATGCCAGAGATTTCTGTGCATTAATTTTGTATCCTGCCACTTTACCAAATTCATTGATATGCTCTAGTAGTTTTCTGGTAGCATCTTTAGGATTCTCTATGTATAGTATCATGTCATCTGCAAACAGTGACAGCTTTACTTCTTTTTTCCGATTTGGATTCCTTTTCTTTTTCTTCTCTGATTACTGTGGCTAAAACTTCCAAAACTATGTTGAATAAGAGTGGTGAGAAACAAAAGAAAGTTGGGGTACCAATACTTATATCAGACAAGATAGACTTTAAAACAAAGATTGTAACAAGAGACAAAGAAGGACATTACATAATGATAAAGGGATCAATCCCACAGGAAGATATAAAAATTGTAAGTATGTATGCACCCAACATAGGAGCACCTAAATACTTACAGCAAATATTAACAAACATTAAGGGAGAAATTGACAGTTACACAATAATAGTAGGGGACTTTAACACCTTACTTACCTCAATGGATAGATCATCCAGATGGAACATCAATAAGGAAACACTGGCTTTAAATGATGCATTAGACAAGATGGACTTAATAGATATTTATACAGAACATTCCATTCAAAGGCAGAATACAGTCTTTTCAAGGGCACATACACAGAACATTCTCTAGGATAGATCAAATGCTAGGCCACAAAACAAGTCTCAGTAAATTTAAGAAAACTGAAATCATATCAAATATCTTTTTTGACCACACTGCTATGAGACTAGAAATTAACTACAAGAAAAAAAAACAAAACCTGCAAAACCTACAAATGTGGACATTAAACAATGTGCTACTAAACAGCCAGTGGGTCACTGAAGAAATCAAAGAGGAAATGAAATAATACCTGGAGACAAGTGAAAATAACACAATGATCCAAAATCTTTTAGCAAAAGCAGTTCTAAGAGGGAAGTTTATGGTGATAAAAGCCTACCTCAGTAAACAAGTAAAATGTCAAGCAACCTAACCTCATTCCTAAAGGAAAAAAAAAAAAAAAAAAAAAAAAAAAGACCAACATAACCCAAAGTTAGTAGGAGGAAGGAAGTAATAAAAATCAGAGCAGGGGCTTCCCTGGTGGTGCAGTGGTTGAGGGTCCGCCTGCCAATGCAGGGGACACGGGTTCGTGCCCCGGTCCGGGAAGAACCCACGTGCCGTAGAGCGGCTGGGCCCGTGGGCCATGGCCGCTGAGCCTGCGCGTCTAGAGCCTGTGCTCCGCAACGGGAGAGGCCACAACAGTGAGAGGCCCGTGTACCGCAAAAAAAAAAAAAAAAAAAGGTAAAAAAAAAAAAAATCAGAGCAGATATAAATGAAAGAGACTTAAAAAAATAGAAAAGTTCAATGAAACTAAAAGCTATTTCTTTGAAAGAATAAACAAAATTGATAAAACTTTAGATTCATCAAGAAAAAAAGAGGGCCCAAATCAGAAATGAAAAAGAATTTACAACCAACACCACAGAAATACAAAGGATCATAAGTGGGAATTCCCTGGCAGTCGAGTGGTTAGGACTCTGCGCTTCCACTGCAGGGGGCACGAGTTCAATCCCTGGGTGGGTAATTAAGATCCCACATGCCGTGCAGTGTGGCAAAAAAAAAAGGGGGCTTCCTTGGTGGCGCAGTGGTTGAGAGTCCGCCTTCCGATGCAGGGGACATGGGTTTGTGCCCCAGTCTGGGAAGATCCCACATGCCATGGAGCGGCTGGGCCCATGAGCCTGCGCATCCGGAGCCTGTGCTCTGCAACGGGAGAGGCCACAGCAGTGAGGGGCCCGCATATCGCAAAAAAAAAAAAAAAAAAAGGATCATAAGAGATTACTAAGAATAATTACACATCAATAAAATGGACAACCTAGAAGAAACTGATAAAGCCCTAGAAATGCACAATATCTCAAGACTGAATCAGGAAAAAATAGAAAATATAAACAGCCCAATTATCTAAATTATCTCAATTATCAATGAAATTGAATCAGTATTTTAAAAATCCCAACAAACAAAAGTCCAGAGCTAGACAGCTTCACAGGTAGTTCTACTAAACATTTAAAGAAGAGTTAAGGGACTTCCCTGGTGGCACAGTGGTTAAGACTCCACGCTCCCAATGCAGGGGGCCTAGGTTTGATCCCTGGTCAGAGAACTAGATCCCACATGCATGCTGCAACTAAGAGTTTGCATGCCACAACTAAGGAGCCCACATGCCACAACTAAGCCCTGGTGCAACCAAATAAATAAATAAATAAATATTAAAAAAAAAAAAAAAGAAGAGTTAACACCTATCCTTCTCAAACTCGTCCAAAAAATTACAGAGGAAGGAACACTTCTGAACCCATTCTATAAGGCCAGTGTCCCCTTGTACTAAAACCAGACAAAGATACGCCCCCTCCACACACGTACAAACACAAACATTACAGGCCACTATTACGGATGACCATAAATGCAAAAATCTTCAACCAAATTCAACAGTACATTAAAGGATCATACACCATGATCAAGTGGGATTTATTCCAGAGATGCAAGGATGGTTCAATATCCACAAATCAGTCAATGTGATACACCACATTAACAAACTGAAGAATAAAAATCATATTATCATTTCAATAGATGCAGAAAAAGCTTTTGACAAAATTCAACATCCATTTATGATAAAAACTCTCCAGAAAGTGGGTATAGAGGGAACATACCTCAACATCATAAAGGCCATATATGACAAGCACATGGCTATCATCATACTCAATGGTAAAAAGCTGAAAGTATTTCCTCTAAGATCAGGAACAAGACAAGGATGCCCACTCTTGCCACTTTCATTCAACATAGTATTGGAAGTCCTAGTCATAAAAATCAGACAAGAAAAAGAAATAAAAGAAATCCAACTTGGAAAGGAAGAAGTAAAACTGTCACTGTTTGCTGATAACATGATACTATACATAGAAAATCCTAAAGACAACACCAGAAAACAACTGGTGTTTCTAGAACTAGAGCTCATCAATGAATTCAGTAAAGTTACAGGATACAAAATTAATATATAGAAATCTGTTGTGTTTCTATACGCCAACAACAAACTATCAGAAGCAGAAATTAAGAAAATAATTCCATTGACAATCACATCAAAAAAGAATAAAATACTCAGGTACAGGGCTTCCCTGGTGGCGCAGTGGTTGAGAGTCTGCCTGCTGATGCAGGGGACACGGGTTCGTGCCCTAGTTTGGGAAGATCCCACATGCTGTGGAGTGGCTGGGCCCGTAAGCCATTGCCGCTGAGCCTGCGTGTCCAGAGCCTGTGCTCCGCAACGGGAGAGGCCACAACAGTGAGAGGCCCGCGTACCGGTAAACAAAAAAACAAAAAAACAAAAAAGCAAAAAACTTAGGTATAAATCTAAGGAGGTAAAAGATCATTAACTCAGAAAACTGTAAGATACTGATGAAAGAAAGTGAAGATGACACAAACAAATGGAAAGATATACAGTACTCATGGATTGGAAAAATTAATATTGTTAGTGACTGTACTACCCAAAGGCAATCCTTATCAAAATACCAATGGACTTTTCATTGAACTAGAACAAATAATTGTAAAATTTGTATTAAACTCAAAAGAACCTGAATAGCCAAAACAATATTGAGAAAGAACAGAGGTGAAAGCATCACACACTTTGATTTCAAACTGTTCTACAAAGCTACAGTAATAAAACACTATGGTACTAGCACAAAAACAGACATAGATAATGGAACAGAATAGAGAGCTCAGAAATGATCCCACACTCATATGTGGCATTAATCTACAAGAAATGAGGCAAGAGTATACAATGGGAAAAAGACAGCCTCTTCAATAAATGGTGTTGGGAAAACTGGACAGCTAAATGCAAAAGAATCAAGCTAGACTATTTCTCATGCCATATACAAAAATAAACTCAAAATGGATTAAAGACTTAAATATAAGACCTGAGACCATAAAAATTCTAGAAGAAGACATAGGTGGTATGCTCTTTGACATGGGTCTTAGCAATAATGTTTTGGCTATGTCTCCTCAGGAAAGGAAAAAAAAAGCAGAAATAAACAAATGGGACTATATCTGACATTATCGAACTGTAGAATCAATCCCAGCAATTGTCTACTTCTGAACTTGTTTTCTTAAAGAAAGAAACCTCTAATTTGTGTAAGTCTGTAGGGCTAGTTTTTGCTTACTTGCAGTCAACTGCAATTCAAAATTGATATATTAAAATTTAGATTGGCTTTAAAATATTACGCAGGTCAATGCAATATTTGTTACATTTATCTCCTCCATAACAAGGTACCCTGAATTATGTAAAATGGGAACACATTGTCCACGATCAAGACATCTGACTGAAGGACTGATTTGGTGAGTTGTTCATTTCTTGGATGTATCACATTGCATTTAGATAACTAGACATTTTTTTTTTTTGGCTGTCTTGTATCCTTGTTGCTGTGCGTGGGTTTTCTCTAGTTGTGGCAAGCAGGGGCTACTCTTTGTTGTGGTGTGCGAGTTTCTCATTGCGGTGGCTTCTCTTGTTGTGGAGCACAGGCTCTAGGCACACGGGCTTCAGTAGTTGTAGCCTGTGGGCTCAGTAGTTGCAGCACACAGGCCCTAGAGTGCGCGGGCTTTGGTAGTTGTGCCGTGTGGGCTCAGTAGTTGAGGTGCATGGGCTCTAGGGCACATGGGCTTCAGTAGTAGTTGTGGCGTGCAGGCTCAGTAGTTGTGGCTCACAGGCTCTAGAGTTCAGGCTCAGTAGTTGTGGCACATGGGCTTAGTTGCTCCACAGCATGTGGGATCTTCCTGCTCCAGGGACCAAACCTGTGTCCCCTGCATTGGCAGGCAGATTCTTAACCACTGCGCCACCAGGGAAGTCCCAAACAGACTTAAAACCAAGAGATCTAGCAGGCTGTTTGGAACCACAGATGTGAACACCTGACCTTTTCTCAATAGCCATTTCTCTTCTTTTTATCATAATACAGAAATATTTCTACTAATGACATATACCAAACTTAGGGACAAAATAATGTGTCCAATCTTGCAGTGACTATATTAAGATATTATTTTAAATTAAGATATTCTTTTAAAATATACAACTTTAGTTCAGTTTTATAAATAGATTCCATCACGACTTGTGGTTCTCCTTCTATAGCAGAGAGTTGTCTGTCACTGGGAATCAGCTGCTCAGCCAACTCATTTCCCAGCTTCCTTGTGCGTAGGGCCACCATTTGGCCAGTCCTTGCTGATAGAATGAATGGCAGTGATGTGCTTTGTTTCCAGGCCTGCCCAGCGCAAAGAATCCCCCACAGGTGTCCCTACTCTTCCCCCGTTTCTGGCTGGGGAAATGGAAACGATTCCCAGGATGACCTTGGAAGCTATGTGTTGATTACAGAAACTCCATCAGCTTGGGTTCCTAACAGTCAGAGGGAGGAGAGCTGCCCTGCTGAGCTGTTCTCTTGCCCAGATCTCTTAGATAAATTTCTATTATGTATGAGCCATTATACGTTTGGGTGTATATTTTATAGTACTTAGCTATCTAATGTGCGTTAGAAGCCAAGTAGTATTTATTCATTCATTGGCTATCGGAGTGTCTCCATGTGCCACCCTGGCTCTGTGGCTTCGCCATGCTTTCTAACCAGCGTGGCCCTAGCAAATGGCTCACCCCATTCCATGGTAGTGGAGCCACGTCCCAGATGAGGGCAGTAACATTTTTACTGTAATTATGTTTCCAGGGCTTCCCTGTTGGCGCAGTGGTTAAGAATCCGCCTGCCAATGCAGAGGACTTGGGTTCAAGCCCTAGTCCGGGAAGATCCCACATGCTGCGGAGCAACTAAGCCCGTGTGCCACAACTACTGAGCCTACGCTCTAGAGCCCACAAGCCACAACTACTGAGCCTGAGTGCCACAACTACTGGAGCCCATGTGCCTAGAGCCCGTGCTCCACAACGAGAAGCCACCGCAATGAGAAGCCCGCGCACGCAACAAAGACCTAACATGGCCAAAAATAAATAAAATAAATAAATTTATTTAAAAAAAAGTTTCCATTCAGGGTTTGTAAATCGAAACCCACATTTTCTTCCCCCAGTTTCCATTTCCTAGCTACATTCTTTCCAGACAAAGGATCCTTCTCCAGCTTTCCCCCTCTATTTCTGTTGACTTCACATGGTAGCTAATCACCTCCAGCTGTACTGGCTCCTGGACCCTGCTGGCCTTGTTTCCTGTGCTTATGACAGGAAAACAAGGTCTCATGATTCCAACTCACTCAGTAGTTTCTAAAAATCTTTTAAAGCAATAGAAACCTTTTTTCCAAATCTTTAGCTACAACTCAATCTGTAGAAACTGTCCTGATTGAAGTGGAAGTGATGGTGGTGATACTTCTCTTGCCAGATTCAGAGCCACTTCTGAGGTAGGATTCAAACTTGCTACCCAGAGAGGAGTCATACATATCCCTGTGGGGTTTTGTGCATTTTCCTGACACTGTCTTCTGCCCTTAAATAGCCTCAGCTCTTCAGGAGTAGGTCCCAGAAAATCGTTGCACTTGGGTAAGATCAGAAATTCCAGTTAACTAGCTCAGAATTGGTCAATCTGATGAGAAGGAACCAAGCAGTTTCTGGGGTCTTGGGATGGCGTCACTCACGACTGAGTGGAGGAATGCTGTCACAATTAGGAGTTAGCGAAATACGTTCAGTACTGAGAATCAGAAGCAGGTTCTTTGAAGCTGATCTCTTCCCTTTAGGCAGAATCAAATATAAACCTCCCAGGTAGTGTGATATTGTTTTCCTTCATGAGATAGTTTGAGTTTTACAACTAAGACTTGAAAATTCTGACTTATGTACCAGTCAGGCTCCCAGGAAGGCAGCAGGAAGGGAGAATGAATTTCTTAGCCACTGTTAGTCAGTACTTGATCCTCACCATCAGAGCCTGGAGAAGATCTACCAGGAGTTCTGACAACACTCCCAGGGCCTGTGGCTGGCACAACCGGCACCCAGCAGGGATACGGAAGTTGGGGTCCAGAAGTTCCTGCCTTCCCAGAGGCCTGGAATGTTGTTAAAAAATAGCGCACTGGGCTTCCCTGGTGGCGCAGTGGTTGAGAGTCCGCCTGCCGATGCAGGGGACACAGGTTCGTGCCCCGGTCCGGGAAGATCCCACATGCTGCGGAGTGGCTAGGCCCGTGAGCCATGGCCGCTGAGCCTGCGCGTCCGGAGCCTGTGCTCCGCAACGGGAGAGGCCACAGCAGTGAGAGGTCTGCGTACAGCAAAAAAAAAAAAAAAAAAAAAAAAATAGCGCACTGAAAATGTTTAACTTGTCTGCACACACTTTTGGCTTGTTCATGTTTTAATGTGTATTTTTATTTACAAAGTGAGATGATGTATAACATGATGCAGTTACAAACATTTGATATGTCCATTTTCATGAAAAAGTATATAAATATATTACAGGAAGTTCTAGATAGTAAACATTAGAAATTGATATAGTAAACATTTGCTACCTTTTTCTCTATGCCAATATTACTGTCATTTAAAGCTTAAATACTGGTTTCAAATATCCCCTATAAAATAGCTCTAGTTTTTAAAAAATACTGGAAAATAATTTCGCTATAAACAAGATTGGTGCATTAAAAATAGTCTCAGTGTGTCCTTGTAACAATGTCAGCTATAGTCAAATGCTGCCTTAATCATCCCTAAGATATGCATTATTCAGTTAGTGTTAAAAAAATCTTCGATAATTATCACAGGTTAAAGTAGCTGTAAAAATACAGCATTTACCATTATTTATTGTTATTAAGAATGCCCCTCTAAGGTAGAGGAGAATAAGCATAATGATGTTTTATGGACTTACTGCCCTGTGATCTTTATTTTAAATAGACAGCAGGAGCATCTGCTGGAAGTTAGGAGAGAAGTGGACAGACATCCAGAAGGCTGTTCTTGTCATGTCATTTCAGAGGCTGGGCCTGCTCTTTCTCCTCTTCTTCAGCTTGAAGACGTGTCAGGACATAAAGGATGACTTGATAGCAGAAAATATACTGATCCTATAGCACCCCCCCACCAAAAAAAAAAAAAAAGAGGAAAAAAAAAGAGAGGGAGAGAAGACTTTAGATGTATAATGTGAATATATATATATATATATAGCTTCACCACTACTGGAAGTGATGCTTGAGTACTTTTGAAAACATGAAAAATTATGTCATAGGGTTGAATGTAAGAAGCAGGACATAGAATTGTGCACTGTCACAAAAATTATAAGAAACAGAAACCAGATTGACAAAATGTGGAGGGAAGAAGCCTTGGGGGTGGGTGGTGAGTGCTAACTGAAGTTGTCTCTGATGGGTGGACCACTTCTATTTTTTTGTGCTTTGGTGATTTTTATGATTTGCTCTTATAATGGAAAAATAAACTTCCTACAAAATTTCCTCTAGACTTATTGAACTCGTCTTGATGTTTTGAAATGTCAAGAAATTAATACCCAAGAAACTACACAAAATAACTGTCTTTAAATATTTTGGAACAAAAGAATATTTTTGATTTCAAAAATCAATGTGTTTTTGAAAATTAACTTTTTCAGTGAAATTAACTCTCTACTAAGTTGATAGTGCAGGGATCTGAGTTTTCCTGTTATTTGGCAAGGAATTAATGAGCCTGAAAATAAATGGGAGAAATTTACAGTATACTAAGTGGAAAGTAACAGTAATAACTACAGTTGAATCTCATTTAAAACAGTTGTGTGCATGTGAGCACACACACTGTGCACTAAAGAATGCTCAGAATGTTGCCTAAAATGTTAACAACTCTGAAGAAGAGGAATACAAGTAACCCTTTTATTTCCTTTTGCCCATCTGAATTTTAATTTGCCCACATTTTCCACACAATTATCCTTGACTTTCTCTCACGCCACAAACAATCCATTAGCAAACACTTCACATAATGCCCTTTTCTCCCTACATCCACACTCACCACTCCAATCTGGGCCGCCACTGCTTGCTACCTAACCAACCTCCTGCTTCTAACCCTGCACCCTCCTTCCTAATTCAATTTGGTCTTGTTTTAACATAGCAGCCAGAGTGGTCCTTTAAAATGGGAGTCAGATCATGTCATTCTATACAGACAATCCTGCGATGGCCCCATCTCACTCAGAGGAAAGCCCAGGCCCTGGCCCCGTCACCTCCTCTCGCACTTCCCCTCCTGCTGCCTCCACCTCAGACACCCTGGCCATGATTATTCTCGAACACACAAGACCCACTCTCACCTTGGACCTCCTCGCAGGTGGTTCTGTCTGCCTGAAAGGCTCTTACCCCCAGACATCTGCGTGACCACCTGCTTCACGTCCTTCAAATCTTTGCTCAAGGGTTACATCCTCAGTGGTGCCACTCTATTTAAAATAGCACCCCAACCTGCCATGACTCATCCTCTTTACCCTACTTTTTCCCTCTAAAGCACTTATTAATTTCAAAGATCCTATATCGTCTACTCAGTTAATGGGTTTATTGTCTGCCTTCCTCATCACCATCCACTAGAAGATCTTTGTTATTCCATCAGGGATCTTCATCTTATTCATTGATACGCTCCAAGCATCTAGAAGAGTGCCTGGCATATAGCAGGCACTTAATAAACATCTGTTAAACAAGTGAACTTCCTGGGTCTAAAGAACTGCTTATACAGATCAGTATGTTTTTGTTACCTAGAAAAATATGACTGTGAATCAGCTTAATACTTAGGAGACTTAATCTGAATTAAAAAGGTATATGAAGGGAAAGTAGGCAAATTTAAATTTTAAAAATAGTAATAAACTTCTATATTCTTCAAGAGGTAGAGATAAATGAATTTATAGATATATGAAACTAGCTTCCACATCCCTCCCCCAATACAAACAAAAAGGATAATGGAACTATGCAGAGCAGACAGACACTCTAAGTAATGCAGTCTCTGGGAAGGACCCAAGTCTGTAGGTCAGTGGGTGATTTAACCCATGTTTTGACTTTAGGTAAGAGAAATGAAAATGATCAAAACAGAGGATAAATGAACACTTTCCCAAGAGTGCCTTCTCCAAGCTAAACAACTCCATCCTCCCTTCCTGCCTTCTGGTCAATGCTGTTGAATCCATTCCCTCTCAGGAAATTTCTGTAGCAAGAAGATTACCTTTTATCTCTTTTTTAGGTTGGAAATGGGGAAGGAATGCCACTAATTACATGCTATTTTGTACCACCCCAAATTTTTGCCCCCAATATACCATCCTATTCTCTGTAATCTATTCATTGTAGATATTGCATTTCCTCATTTTTTAAACTAAAAGGCAGCATTTAAAAAAGATAGTCTGGAAATATTTGCACAAAAATCTTCATTAGAAGGCACCAGCCAACACTAACCTCTGTCTGAACCATTCCATGTCTTTGTAGTCTCATGCATCGCACTAAATCAGAGATGTCAAACTGCCAAAGGAAACAGAATCTGTATGTTAAATAAAAAGGATAACTGAATTTGAAACCCAAAGATTCACTAAGGAGTGGCTTACATAGATTTCTGCACCCCAATCTCCTTCCCCTTCTAGCAGTCTTGAGAAACTGTTCTGGACAAAATTAAGTTGGTGAACTGACTTTGCCATCATTTGATAATTTTATTTATGATTTTTTTTAAGAATTAGGAAGGTTATTCTATTTGAAAATCCCCAACAGAAACGCTCTTCCCTCTGAAATTTGACTTTCTAATATCTCCATTAAAAAAAAAAAAGGCAAAGTATTTTTCCTACATTTTGCTGCTCAGAATAAAATTCCTGATCTTTTTATTTTCCCAAGGGAGAAACAGACTATTTCATTTGTCCTACTTAAATTATCATGAGAGTGTGAAGAGCAAGACATAACTGTTTTTAGCAAATTCTTCAAGAGGTAATGATTTTAATTACATATTATGTGTACTAAGATATTCTAACATTCTAAGCGTGATTTATACTAATTTAGGTTTTAAGTAAGATTATACTCTTATTAGCTTTGTTTACTTAGTAATAATTTTAAAAACTGGGAGTAATTGTTTAGAGATAGACTATTTAGCATCAATTTGCATAACAAAAGTATTTCCCACCTATAGGTAACAATAACAAAAAACCCAGTAAAATAAATATAAGTTTGAAGTATTATTTCTTCTTGATTATGGCCTATGCAGTTTTGAACGTTTACTAAAATACAATTCTATGTAGTAAGAAAATTGTCATTCATACAAACTGATAAATAAAAAAAATTCCAAGTACTCACTTCAAGATCTTGACTGATTAATCCTAGAACCACATCTATGCATATCAGGGTCCCTGAACGTCCAATGCCGGCGCTGCAGTGTGTGGTGATTGGGCCTGATCTATGAATGTGTCTCATGTAAGAGATAAAAGTGAGCAAGTCGTCTGGCTGAGAAGGTGTAGCATGGTCTGGCCAGGCAGTGAAATTCAGATGAGAAATATGTCGCACCTCTCCTGTCTGAAATTGTACGACAGAATAAGTAGATAAAGGCATACTACGTTGTTCACATATAATTAGTTCTTATTATTATTTTGTCCTTTTAAATTTTGACTTGGCCATTGGATTAGATACAAGGAAAAGTGAAAGACAGACTCCATCAAACAACACACTGAGGGCCTTTATCAACGAGGTTACTAGATCCACACTTTAAATATTGGTAAAAACGACTTTTTGGAAACCCTAAAAGCAAATTTATGTTTGATATGAATAGCAACCTTTTTTTAATGATCCCAATTCAAATTCACCTTAGATAAAAGCCACAGTCATTGCAGTGGCTTGAAAGTGCTACATGATGTGGCCCAGCTACCTCTCAGACCTAACCTCTTGCTCCTGGCCACTTTGCTCCAGCCATAGGGACCTCTCTGGTTCTTTAAAAACACTAGGCATAGTTCAGTCTCAGGGCCTTTGCACTTGCTCTTTCTAACTGAAATGCTTCCCTCCCCCCAGATATCCCTGTGATGATTTTTTTCTCACAGCATCATCAACACCAGTATCTTTTCATTAGAAAGTAAGGTCCATGAAGTCAGGGATTTCCTTTTGTTTGTGTTGTTAACTTCTGAATCCCTATATTCCATAACAGGGCCAAACTAAGCTCTATAAACATGTGTTGATTAAATAAACAAGTCATTTAAGGAATATTGAACAATTGTGCTAGCATAAGTAATGGGTAGGCTGGTGTAAATGAATAAGGAAGTATAATCTTTAATTCTTTGTAAAACCACAAATCAAAAATCATGAAGGAATTTCTCAGGCTATGTTTACATGCCACCAATAACACTGAGTCAGTAAGTTTTGTTTCTATGGAAGTAAAATTATTCTGTTTCTTTAACAAAGTTAAAATGCCAATAGGAAACACATTACTTAAACTGAGTATTACTGGGTGGAGGAAAGAAATAAAGTGAAGGGGTGTGGAGGTGAGGAAACAGTAGCAGCTTTACTTAAGGTATACCCACTTATCTAATTCAAGCTAAATTTATTCAGTGCTTAGGTGGCTGCAATAGGAATTATGTGAATAACAAATATTTATGCTACAATTGTTCCTATATTACCAAATACATTGTCTTTATGGGGGAATATTTGCTACTTAGAGGGTTTTAAAAAACAGTTTTATTGAGTCTACTTAGAGGTTTGACCTGAAAAATATGTTTCCAGCACATAGCTTCTGAGCCATTCTGTGCTATCTATCACAAAGCAAAGGATGATGGTTGATCCTGTAAAAGTCCTGTATTATCATTTTCATTTAATACAGTACATACTGGAGGAGACTATTTGGCAGAATTCATGAAGAGGGTCACATTTAAGCTTATATTAGATTAAGGATAGTAGATGGAATTAGTTCCACTGAAATGGGACCCAAGAAGTCACTGGCTTTTATTCAGAAACACATTGACGTAATCATGGAAAGATTTAATCCACGTACCTGAATGTCTTCTAGGGTCATTGCCCTTACCACAAAGCCCTTTAGCTGCTGCACTCTCACAAGAGCCAGTCGAAGCCTGTTGCTGACCATTGTTGTTTTGCCTAGGACATTAGGCCAATAGCGCTGGCATTTGACTTTTTCCCCTTCTACTTCTTGGGTCATCATGGCTATCACTGTGGATTTTTGTTCCCAAATCATCTGCCAGAAATCTCCAACGGTTGTAGGGAGAGGTCCTTGGCAGGCAATGTAGACGAATTCTTCTCTCCCCACTGGTATCTTAATGAAGCTGGCGTTGATATATCCACCTTCATCTCCAAGAGGCACTCTTGTAGCATCGTCTGTGAATTTCCAACCACAAAACAGAGCCATCTATATCATGCATTTTTAAACAAGAGCCCTATAGACAAGGTGAGTCAAAGATTATTAGAATTTCCTAATAACCATAGATGAAATCACAAAAACATTTTAATAAAGGCATATTTTCAAACTGCAGTACAGTCAAATCATTTTGCACATTTCCCTCATGTTATAAGTATATTTAAGATGTCAACTCAGTTTTGGAAAAAATTAGATATTGTTCACATAGATTTGCTTGGAAAAAATCAAAATTAATAAATTAATGAATGCATTTACAACTTCTTAATAACTAGGGAAACACAACTTTGCTACTTCTCCATTGTTATTTTAATAATGATGACAATGGTAAATTTAATATGAATGAAAATTTCAAAAATTATTTCATAAAACAAAAATTAGTATTACAGTGAAACTATTAAAGTACTTATTACAAATATAATTGACACAATTAATTCTTGCTTATCTAATTATAGTCTTTTGAGTAAGTAGGCCAAAATAATAAACTAACTCAATAAATAAAAAGGTAGCTCACTTTATTCTCCAGGCATTGTAACTTCATATAGTCAAAATACATTTTCAAACCAAGCTCCCCCAGTAAAAAGTGTATATAAACCATCTCGTCCAAGAGAATTAATCTGTATGTACTTATACATTAGAAGTCATTTCAATCTCAAATATAACTGGTTATTTCTGTGATTACCAAATTATGACATTTAGTAATAGATTTCAAAATCCTCCATCAATTGCCCTTCTATTATTTGACTTCTATCTCTTGATCCACGGAAACAAATCTACTCAGTAGTTTTGGATTTATGGCTTTATCCCATTCTGCTTTGAGATACTAGTCTGCCATTTTTTTGCCTGAAACAATTAGCACCTACTTTATGCCAAACCATGATCTATTCCATTTTAAAAATCCTGTCTAAGATTCAATTCTTAAAGGAAGTTTTCTAAAATGAATTTTGTCTTCCACCTTGATTGAAAAAATTCAATTGTATTATTATTGCATGATTTGTCACTATTGGTTATGTTATTTATCTTTGAATTTATGACTTCCTGGCAAAGATGAGGTCAGTATGTCATATCATGTAATCCAACATGATTATATATGTAAATGTGGCTTGTGATTATTATAAGAAGTTGCTAGATGTTAATATTTTAGCTATATACATATATTCATATATATATTTTTTAAAAAACCACGTTGATCGGTGAAATGGGTGAAATATAGGTAAAAAGCATTGCTATTTTTTTCTTCCTGTTATCTTAAACAATTCAAAGAACAATGCAACTTGGTAGTCCCATGGTGGCCACACACACGTATACAGCTGTTATGTACCAAAGACATTTCTCTAAACTTAAAATAGTAGAATAAATAGATTTGATTGTGACACATGAACTAAGAAATTGCTTATCTAGAAGCCAATTCCAATTTTTAAAAAGACTTTAAAAATTCATCAATGTCTGAAGAAATGTTTAAGATGCCTCTAATCAATTTTCAGAATACACAGATAATTTTATAAATTTTATTTATTTATTTATTTTTGGCTGCGTTGGGTCTTTGTTGCTGTGCACGGGCTTTCTCTAGTTGCAGTGAGCAGGGGCTACTCTTCATTGCGGTGCGTGAGCTTCTCACTGCGGTGGCTTCTCTTGTTGCAGAGCACTGGCTCTAGGTGCATGGGCTCAGTAGTTGTGGCTCGTGGGCTGTAGAGCACAGGCTCAGTAGTTGTGGCACGCGGGCTTAGCTGCTCTGCAGCACGTGGGATCCTCCTGGACCAGGGCTTGAATCTTTGTCCCCTGCACTGGCAGGCGGATTCTTAACCACTGCACCACCAGGGAAGCCCCACAGATAATTTTAAAAGAATTCAGGTTGTATATATAAATTTGTTACTGATATAAATCTCTGAATGTGTGTGTCTGCGTGTGTGCACACTTATGTGAGAGATAAGGTAAACTAGCACATAAGTTTTAAATCAGTTTAAATTATATTAAAAATACATTTGATTTGAAGCCAAATTGGAACTTACAGGGAAGTATATTTTTATATCGGTTCTTCCTTCTGTTTTCCTTAGTCTGTCCAATTAGACACTGATCCAGAGGTTTTAATTCTTGAAGATTCTGTAAAGCAAAAGTGGAAATAAAATTAAATTTGTTGAGATAAACAGTAATTCAGTAATGATTGCAAATGCTTTTTTTAAAAATAAATTATTTTATTTATTTTTATTTTTGGCTGCCTTGGGTTTTCATTGCTGTGCGTGGGCTTTCTCTAGTTGCAGCGAGCGGGGGCTACTCTTCGTTGCGGTGTGCGGGCTTCTCATTGCGGTGGCTTCTCTTGTTGCGGAGCACGGGCTCTAGGCATGTGGGCTTCAGTAGTTGTGGCTGACGGGCTCTAGAGCGCAGGCTCAGTAGTTGTGGCGCACAGGCTTAGTTGTCCCGTGGCATGTGGGATCTCCCGGACCAGGGCTCGAACCTGTGTCCCCTGCATTGGCAGGTGGATTCTTAACCACTGAACCACCAGGGAAGCCCCTGCAAATGCTTTAAATGTGCAGGGTGCAAAACTGACTATCGATCAGGGCAAATTTGACCGTTAAGAAACAGATATGTCCTGTCAAGACAAATAAGCCTGCAATCCCAATACTAATTCAATATATCAGTTGTTGAAATATATTGTTGCAAATATCTTTAACATGTTGTAGTCAACTAACTTTGTGAGGCAGCAGTTTGTATCTTAATTTTAAATTTCAGCTTAAAGATGTGTATAATTTCATTTTAGAAAAAAAAACACAATTCATGAAAACAATTTTGGCTTAAAGTAATGAGCTGGAGCAGAATTTCTTGCATTATTGTCTCTGGGGTCACAGAATATTCCACGTGGTAGAATTGTGGTAAGATAGTCCTAAATTCTAAAGCCAACTCTTTCTCACTTTTCAGTCACTCATTAATTAATCCATCCATCCATCTAGCCATCCAAGTCAACCAATATACATTGAAAATGCCTACTATATGCAAGGCACTGTAATAAGTGCTGGGAATACATTAGAGAGAAAGAAGATATGATTTGGGTTGTCCTGGAGACCACAGGCTACTGGGAGAAAGAGGCAGTAAAAGAGTAAACAAACAAATATTGTGATATATGCTTTGAAGAAATTAACAAGCTGCTGTGATACAGAAAAATAAACATCTGCTTTATAAAGGGTTGTGATGGGAAGTCTCTGAGATGGTAACATTTAAACTTAAGACCTTAAAGAAGAAATCACTTCTGCAAAATGGAGAGAAAGAGTATAACTTAACATTGTGAACCTGTTTCCAAATCCATACAATGGGATTTAAAATATTTTGAGCATTATACACAAAGCATCTAGCACGCTGTTGAAGCTCTCAGTAGAAGTTAGCTCCTTTCACTTCAGGGTCTATGAAAAGCTCAGGATGTGGGCAAGTAAGCAGATGGTTTGAGGGAGATGGGCAAGGTAGACCCCCAAACCACAGTGGTGCTACATTATTCTTTGGCCTAGTGGTAAGTAATGGATGGGGCCAGCAAGACCACAGGAGCAAGGCCTCTGAAGCACTGCGGCTTTGAACTGGGGGCACATTCTTGGAGCTGTATTAAAATAAAAACTGTTGCTAACGATGAATCACATCTTTAGTGTATTAACTATGAAGTTTAGTGGATGGTTGGAATTGATACTTGACTTTTTAAAAAAACTCTTTAGCCTTACATATGAGGATAATCTTCAGGGAGATTTATCAAGCTCCGAAGCTGCTAAAGAGATCCCTTTAAATCAATACTATTAGGATCCTAATTAGAAAAATTAATTTACTGCTAGAAATGACAAGATGGTACTTTTATAGTTGGAAGTTGTAAAGTAATAGACATTTTCAAGATTCTTAAAATTTCTCCTAACCTTGCAGAAAACTTTGTTGGAGAAAGAACAATTATCAAAAGCCCCTTACCTCTAGCTCCTTAGACGGAATTCCTTGATCTAGTAAACCCCGCAACATTCGAATGACTGATTTCAACTCCGTACCGGTGTATTTACTGGAGGGAAGCACTTTGACAATGGAGAGTGTGGTGAGCTCCTCATTTGTCAGAAAGGGATGACCTAACAAGAAGATGGCAGTTGATTAAAAAAAAAAACAATTCCCCCCAGAATTGATTTAGCCAATAAGAGAGCTAATTTTAGCCAGTAAGAGAACCAATTTTATCCTATTCTCACCTCATCTATTTTTTACAAAAGTGAGAGTCTTTGACTTAATAAGGCAATAGAATTAACAAGTAGGCAGGTAACTACAATCATCAAAGGAAAATCCTGGCCATAGCAAGATCCTTGTACCCAAACCTTAAGGGAACACCTCACTGACTGTTCAGAGTTCTTAAGGCTCTTGGCTGTCAATTACTTATAGCTTCTAAAGGAGTTTAAATTGTTTCTCTTTGCTTCTCTGGACCCAAATGGCACTGTTTACTTGATAAGAATGTATTTAGTCCTGTTTTTATTTTGCATTTAAATTAGCCTCCAAGCACATGGAGAAAAGATGAAGGGAGATGCTTCAGAAATTCCTTACAAGGGGACACGGCACTAGAAACACTGATTTCTCCCTTCTCTACCCACCCTTGGTACTCAGTGCCACTATCTCTGTCATTTGATAGTTTTCTCCATGCAAATGAAATCCTAAGGGTCTTTAGGAGTTTATCAAACAAGTGCTATCAATGTCTAAGAAGAGGTATGTGTCTAATTTAGTACCTGCTCTACCTATGGAAAATGCTGACAACAGAAGGCAACTGTTATCCTGGAAAAAAGTAGGAGAGACTTCTTGCTATAGTCTGCACAAGTGTAGCTTTAATTACATCAATCAGTTGATAAAAGCATTTTGATGATGCAGCTACTATGCACGCAACAGTAATTCCAGGCACTGGGGGATCTCAAGAAGCTTAAGTTCTGTCTGGGGCGAAAACTAGTAGTGAATACAAAATCCAATCATATGAAATAACTGTAAACTTTTACAGAACTGAGTGTGAATGCAACAGGAGCTCAGAGGCTCTGGGTTACAGGATTTGAGCATTTCCATTGACACCAACAATCCAACTAAGTCAAAAAAGTGTTAATTCGACTCCTTTAATTTCTTTCAACAATGACTTCAAATTACAAAACGTGTTCTTTCACTGCATTAATATAACATTTCTTTATACGAAAAAAAAAAGAAATAAAACGCTGGATAGAACTTCATTTATCTACTGGCTCAGTATAAAACAAGAGAGGCAGTAATAGTGAGGACAGACCAACTGACTCTTGCTCTTAAAAATTTTCCTATCTTTGAGCTATTCTTCCTACTTTACTATAAATAAAATGTGCTCCTAGATTTCTTATTCTTGTTTCCATTTAAAGTATTTACACATCTATTTACATGTTTTACTCCAAGCCACTGAGAATTTTAGCCTAATAACTGTGCAAATATCTGGTCAATAAATGAATGTTGATGTTTGTCTATGTGATTTAACTTTATGTATAGAACTTAATAATGTAGACATATGGTGAAATAACATATCCATATATTCTGAAAACTGTAATTTTCAAACACTTTTTTTTCTACCTATAGTTTTTGATTTAAAAAGTTGCTAATAAATTTCTTGCCTTTATTGGAATCTTCGTGGTTTGTCACTTCTATTGGCAATTCATCACTTCCCCATGTTATTTCATCATCATCATCAGTCTTCTTTTCTGCTGACTTGTGAATTAAGCTATGACAACAAAACACATTTATATTTTCTTCAGTTCTGTGTCCAAAATAAATTGAAATATTATGTCCTTGAATATTTGGAAATATGTCCTACATATTTCCACTACAATTATTATGGTATTTAAAAATAGATTATCTGATTAAAAAAACCTTAAATCCATAATTCCTAAAATTTATTGGTAGCTATAAATTAAACTGAGGTACAGAATTGTTTAATATAGTTTAAATTTTGTCCTCAAACAAATCCCAAGTCTTTGAACCTTAGGTTGAAGGAGTCATCTTGGGGATGGAGAAAGTGGTGGTTTGTTTCCACCCTTCCACTTGGATGCATGATTACAACTGTGTAAGTAGAGCTCTCTTTTGTTTTTTTTAACAGCTGTCTACTATTGTACTGTATGAATGATTCTTCATTTAATTACAGAAGTCCCTACTGATGGACATCAGTCTTTCACTACAATTGGGGGTGAAAAGGACACTCCGGTATCTGGGCACTCACTTAATGTAATAAAACTCAGTACAAGTTCTCATTATTCTAGGGGTGCACAGCAGATGCCATCTCTCGGGTAAGGTGGGTGGCTAGAAAAGAGAAACTAGGTAGAAGAATAACATTTAGCGATTAGATGAGATGAAAAAGGATAATGCAAAGGCCTGAATACATTTTAAACTTTCTGATACTCAGGGGAACAAAGCAGAGTACATTTTGTCTGATGACATTATTATACACCATTAAAGCAGGACATGCACTAATGCTCCCAAAACATTGTAACAGGACAGCAATTATGCTGCTTTTATGGTGGATGCTTTCCTCTGCTCCAACTAATTGTACATCACAGTTAACATGTAATTTGCAAGTTCTGCATCCATGAGGTCTTCTTGGTCTTCTAGCAAGTATGCTTTGTTTGGAAGGATATGTTTTGGAGATCCTCCCATAAGGATCCTCCCTTCTTTCTCATTCTTTTGAACAGCTGCTTAGTATTTCATTGTATGAGTACACCCTAATTTATTTTGTGTCTATTAGGGTTTTTTACTACTATAAACAATGTTGCAATAAATATTCTTATAGAAACATCTGCATACATATGGTAGTAGGATCAATTCTTAGAAATAAAATTGCTAGGTTGAAGGGAATGTACTACAGTTCTTTGAACCTGTGACACGTATCATTGTAAGATACACTATTCTGAATTAGGTCACAATGAGAGATACTTGGACTACCTATGTGCCAAACACCTGGAACAGCTGGCTGGGTTGTGGGTTCATAGACCCTGTCTTCACCCCCCAGTGACCCTGACCAGCCACAGGTTGTGAAGTCTCAGGGGGCCATTCCTGCAGTGGGGCCTGTGGTTGATACATGGACTTCCTTGTCCCCAAGCAAATCTCTAGGAGGTTAGAACCCAGAGTTGACTAAGTCTCTCCTTGAAACCGGGTCACAACCATGGCTTAGGAGGGGCAGAGAGGGGAGACAGAGTGAATAATAAAGCAGTGAGGGCCACCATAAACTTCGCAGGAGTTCCTTCAAAGGCATTTCTGTTACCCGTACCCTTCTGAGATCTACATGTCCTTCGAGTTCCTTCGAGGCTGTTTTTGTCTGTTTTGTGGCCTTTTTCCCCTTCATCGTTATTTAAAAAATAAAATAGTTTATATATACGTCAGCAAGCAGAAGCGTGTTTAGACTTCTTTTCTTTTTGGCAGATGAAGTATGGGAAGCAAAAGCCTTCTGAGGTTCTAGTCTAGTTATGTTATAAAGTTGAGCGTGGCCCTGCGTGCCGGAACTCTTAAACAGGTCAGCTGCCGTCACCCCATTTTTTCACACAATGCCCAGGAGACAGGCTCCCAACAGGCCACTCTGAGGCCAACCTTCTTTGGCAGAGAGGGAGTCTGTGAAGTCCCAGGCATTTAGGGCTGCGTGGGTGGGACTAGGGCAAGGTGGTGGTTAGGGGTGGACAAATGGACGAGACTCGGGGCCCGGCCCGCCCACCCCCAGCTTTAATCAGAGCAGTCCAGTATTTGTCTGTTTCTAGGTAGTAGCTGTGTGGCCTTGGGCCACAGCACGTTCCTGTGTGCCAGATACCACTCTAAATTTTTTTTTTTTTTTTTTTTTGCAGTACACAGGCCTCTCACTGTTGTGGCCTCTCCTGTTGTGGAGCACAGGCTCCGGACGCACAGGCTCAGCGGCCATGGCTCACGGACCCAGCCGCTCCGTGGCATGTGGGATCTTCCCGGACCAGGGCACGAACCCGTGTCCCCTGCGTCGGCAGGCGGACTCTCAACCACTGCGCCACCAGGGAAGCCCCACTCTAAATTCTTGAGGTGTACTGGTCATTTAATCCTCACACAATCTAGGAGGTAGACAGATACTATCCCTGTTTTAGAGATGAGCTCAGGTAATTTGCTCAAGATCACAAAGTAAGTGACAAAGCCAGGACACAAACTGGGCAGCCTGATTCCAAGCCCATGTTCTTTTTTTTTTTTTTTTTTTTTTTCCAAGCCCATGTTCTTAATCTCTACCAGTTTGCCTCCCAACTGACATGGGGTTGCTCTCACCCTCTCATTTTCTCTTTTCCTTCTACTTATCTCCCATGTTGGCCTCTGCACTTCCCCTCTGGCCCTCTCCAGTTCATTCTCCACAGTACACACCTTATCATGTCAGTCCCCTGCTTAAAAAACTCCATGGCCCCCATTTCTCTTGGGATAAAGGCCAAGGTCCTTACCCTGCTCCCTTCTCATCTCGGGCCCCTCTCCTGTTTGCTCTGCTGTCAGCCACTCTGGTCTAGTTCAGGCCCTCAGGTGCTCTGTGCCCTCTCCTGCCCTGGGGTCTTTGCACATGCTGTTCCTCTGCTTGGACAGCTCCACGCCGTCTTTCCCATACCCCTACCCCTGTCCTAGGCGACTCCTGTTCATGCTTCAGAACGTAAATGTCTCTTCAAGGAGAAACCTCACCTACTACTTACTGTCTGAGAACATCAAGCCCCCAGGTGATATCCTCTCACAGTTTGTCATGACTTTTTACAATAAACAGCACTTTTCATGGTCTATGATGATTTATTTGTGGGATTATTTGATTAATATTTGCCTTTATGCTAGACTGTGAGTTCCTTGGGTTAAGGAGCGTCTTTGTCTTGTTAACAGTGTATTTCAAGCACACTGTCTGGTTTATATTAGGTGCTCAATAAATATCTGGATAATAATAATAAAAAAAAAGATACGTTATTACTTTGCTTACATTAAGAAATAATATCAGACTATAATTTTATGACCCTTCATGAGACGCTAAAATTTTTAAAAAGTGTTTCCAAGAATCAGTAACATGTTAATAAAATCTGTACGTTAATAGTGTTTTCAATTTGCCACCCAAAGAATTTACACTAATTTATTCTTCCTTCCCCTGTTGACAGGGAAGAGCCTGTATCTTATTACTATTGGTGGCTGGCCCAGATATTTGCTGATCTTTTAAATATAAGACTATGCATTTCTATGTTAACAATATGTACCCCCTGTCTAACTTAGTGAAAAATTCACTGTCAATTTGCTTTTCTAGGAAAATGGAAATAGCTCCCTTTGACTGTTTGGTTATCATTTAATATGAAGCAAAATTTACGTACAACCACTTTGTTGGCCAACAATATATATAAACTCTTCCTGAGACATCATTTAGTGTTACAAAAAATCTTATTTTATATTAGAAACCGTTTTCAAAAAGAAAAACATTTGTGGGGGGTTTAAAATGTTTCTTACCTTCTTTGGTTTTATTTTCTTATTAAAGAATGAAATTTGTGAAGTATAGAAAAATTTAGAGAAACAGAAAAATAGGTTACCTATAATCACACCAGGAGAAGGTACTATCATCATCGTTGGCACATTTCCTTTTAGACTTTTCTTGCATTTTTTCTGACGGTCAAGAGAATACATTGCTTTTTTTGAGCAATGTCATAACAAACACATTGTCACATGTCACTAGAACTTCCTTGTAACAACATTCAGAAACATTTTTAATATTCAACCATACTTCCATAATCTACTCAATAAGTCTCATTTGACTGGAAAAGACACATTAATTTTAAAATCAACATCTAAATGGAAATCTTGAGAGCACTTCTAAAAAGAGAATGAAAGTGTTATAAATATTTGAAAAATAGTATTTTTACCTTTCAGTTTTTACTTTTTCTTCACAATATTCTTCACAGCCGTTCATTTTGGTAGACTACAACAAAGAGAAACCAAAATCAAATTAGCCCATTGTACCAAAAAAACAAACAAACAAACCAAAAACAATCCTATATAATGTTCAATTTTATTTCCTATATTTACTGTTATTCATCATCATCATGTTACAAAGACACACGACATTCAATCAATGCATGCCAAACTGTGGCTAAGGCATCTGCAGTGGCACAAGAGTTTTGGCTGGCTCCACTTATTCACCTCACACTCATCTTGGCTTTTCATTAATTTCTTTTTATATATATATAAATTTATTTTATTTATTTATTTTTGGCTGCATTGGGTCTTCATTGCTGCGCGTGGGCTTTCTCTAGTTGTGGCGAGTGGGGGCTACTCTTCCTTGCGGTGCACAGGCTTCTTATTGCGGTGGCTTCTCCTGTTGCAGAGCATGGGCTCTAGGCGCGTGGACTTCAGTAGTTGTGGCTCGTGGGCTCTAGAGCGCAGGCTCAGTAGTTGTGGTGCACGGGCTTAGTTGCTCTGCAGCATGTGGGATCTTCCCAGACCAGGGCTCGAACCCGCATCCCCTGCATTGGCAGGCGGATTCTTAACCACTGTACCACCAGGGAAGTCCCTTTCATTTCTTATATAAGGAATATGAATGTATAGAGGTAAGGAAAAAGAAAAATCTAAAGTAACAATTATTTAGATGTGCATACATGGCATATGTTTTTACACTACTTCAATTTTAAAATCTAAAATTTCCAATGTGTTATCTTGCCCATTTATTTAATTTTTAAAATTTTTAATTAAAGTATAGTTGATTTACAATGTTTTGTTAGTTTCTGGTGTACAGCAAAGTGATTCACATACACACACACATATATATATACACACACGTATATTCTTTTTCATGTTCTTTTCCATTATGGTTTATTACAGAATATTGAATATAGTTCCCTGTGCTATACAGTAGGACCTTGTTGTTTATCTGTTTTATATATAGTAGTTTGTATATGCTGATACCAAACTCCTAATTTATCCCTCTCCCACCCCTTTTGCCCTTTGGTAACCATTAAGTTTTCTATATCTGTGAGTCTCTTTCTGTTTTGTAAATAAGTTCATTTGTATCATATTTTTTTATTTTTAATTTTTCATACTTTATTCCTTATACTGATAGGTTAAGAAAGTAAAATTTTCCTAAGTACTAATTCATAGATAATGTTTATAAGCGGGACACAAAACATTCAGTTTCACAAGCAGTAATATCCAATGATCCCCTTAAATGCAATTTTAATCCTTACTTTAAGCTAAGTGCAAGAATAATACAATAAGCTAAATACGCACAAAACCTGTATATGCTGAACTACAAAAGTGGTTTCCATGGCCACACATGGTCTTAGTCAAGTACACATTTCCACAATGAACAAGTACTAACAAATAAGTTTTAATAAACACTACCCCAAATGCTTATCCTGCTACTGAAAGCACTTATTTTTAGAAGCTTTGACCTGGGAAAATGAGTTCTCTTAAAAACTGACAAATAGTATAAGACCTGAAGATTTTAAACCAAATAAGTCTTCCAACACACAAGCATTCATAGGAAAGTTTTACTTTCTCAAAAAATAAAAAATTAAAATGAAAAAAATCACTCTTGTTATCTAAAGAGTATTAAAACAAATTATCTTAAGATAAATAAACACTCCTAAAAAAGGTTGTATTTTCTATCATTTTCTCCTTAAAGGTTGTATTTTTTATCATTTTCTCCTTAAAAGTCTTTTAATAACTTAAGACTACTGTAATCTAAAAACTTTAGAATACATGAAACACATGTCTTCGCTATCAAAGGTACCATTTAGATTTCACATATTAAACAGCTACAGTACAGCCTACAATGGCACAAGTACACCTAATACATAAATATTAATTCATCATTTAGATGGTCAAAAGTCAGAAGGAACTGAATGGTTTGCAAGGTACTTTGACTTACATGTGGTCATTAAAATCCAGTAATGAATTCAAAGTATGGTAATATAATGGCAGGCAATTAAAGGCTCAAATATCACTCTAAAATTGAAGACACGAAAATAAAGACTGAAAACGTTGTGGTTCTCTATTTTTCATTCACATGGCTAGATATCAGAACGTTACTGTGGAAAATATAGTTATTAAATATGGTTTCCCCAGAAAATAATGAAACTTCAGAGAGTACAAAAAATGTCAAGATCCATAGTTCATCAAATGCTTTTTTAGCTCGTTTCAATTCTTCATTCATAGTAAGCGAGTCTTTAACCCTAGCAAACTTTCTTGGGTCCTTTCGAATCAAGAAGACGATATCTTCAACTTGTACCCGACCTTGTCTTCCAATTGACATTGCCTTGTGAGTCATTTCGGTGATGAACTCTATGACAAGGGCTTCAAGAATATCTACTGACTCAGTATAAGGATTCTGGTCATCCCCAAACCCATACATCATACACTGTAATTCTTTAGAAAAAAGTCTCTTTCTTTTACCCTGTCCACCTTCTGCACCTCCCCCAATTTCTTCATTTTCTTCCTCAAAGGTGGGGTCTTCTTCTTCATCTGCCATCCCAGCACCCAGGGCCTGTATCATATTTTAGATTCCACATGTAAGGGCTATCATATTTCCCCTTTTATTTTTTAAAGTGAGGGGTGTCTCCCTAGGAAACTGAGATCAATCAGGTCGTACTTTAACTGAGTATGGTGCCACAGAGACCCAAGTCCTGCAGAAGCAGTTTGCTACAATCAGAAGGAGATGCCAAGTTGCATTCTTACATGGTTAATCTTACATTTAAATCTTCATTAGGACAAATTATCTTAAATGAGAAATTCCTTCCATTTCAAGATCCTGCATTATCTGGCCTCTGTCTACCTCTACAATCCATCTGGTTTTACTCTCCTCTTCACTAACTAGGCTTCAAACTGATGGGCCTTTCTTTTAGCTCTTCAAATCGCTCTTTTTTCACTTTTTCCTTGTTTAATCTAAGTGTCTTTACCTTCTGAGGATGTTTCCTAACCACCCAGTCTAAAAGTGGGTCTCCTTCGTATTCTCTTTCGTAGCACTTTTTTAAACTTCATAGACCTTATCACAACTTGTAATTGCGTGTTTATTTGATCTTTTAGGTACAGACTCTGTAGTTAAAAAGTATCTATAATAAAGTGACTCTGATATCATTTTCAGTTTATCTGAGGGAAACACAGAACTTCTATGGTGGAAGAAATAAAGTAGATTGTTTTTATCCACTGACAACTGAAAAAAAACCTTCTTAGACCTTATTCGTTTTTTTAAAAAAATAAATTTGTTTTTCGCTGTGTTCGGTCTTCGTTGCTGCGTGCGGGATTTCTTTAGTTGCAGCGAGTGGGGGCTGCTCTTCGTTGCAGTGCGCGGGCTTCTCATTGTGGTGGCTTCTCTTGTTGTGGAGCATGGGCTCTAAGTGCACGGGCTTCAGCAGTTGCGGCATGCGGGCTTAGTTGCTCTGCGGCATGTGGGATCTTCCCAGACCAGGGCTTGAACGCAACAGGCTCCGGACGTGCAGGCTCAGTGGCCATGGCCCACGGGCGCAGCCGCTCCGCGGCATGTGGGATCTTCCCAGACCAGGGCATGAACCCACGTCCCCTGCATCGGCAGGCGGACTCTCAACCACTGCGCCACCAGGGAAGCCCATGGCAGGCGGATTCTTAACCACTGCGCCACCAGGGTAGCCCTCCTTATCCGCTTTTAGAAGCTGATAATTTTAGTCTGGGTTAAAACTTTTTTCCAAGTAGTCATTTGGATTTCTTATTCCCCATCATAATCCTGATCTAGGAATCACCATGTGTGCAATCATTTTGCAAAGTATACAGCCTTTTATAAAGGTGTTACTGGGCTTCCCTGGTGGCACAGTGGTTAAGAATCTGCCTGCCAATGCAAGGGGCACAGGTTCGAGCCCTGGGCCTGGAAGATCCCACATGCCATGGAGCAACTAAGCCCGTGCGCCACAACTACTGAGCCTGCGCTCTAGAGCCTGTGAGCCACAACTACTGAAGCCCACGCACCTAGAGCCCGTGCTCTGCAACAAGAGAAGCCACCACAATGAGAAGCCCGCAGACCACAACAAAGAGAAAGCCTACGCACAGCAACGAAGACTCAATGCAGCCAAAAATAAATAAATTTATTAGAAAAGTGTTATTATTAACATTAAAATAATGAGATAAAGCCCAATTGGAAATACACTATAGCAATGCTTGTATTAACCAATTTTTCACTATTTTTGCAAAGTTTACCTATGTATGGTTTGGGGGTGGGTCAGTCTCTCTTCTCATTCTGGATTGTAGGCTCTTTGGAAGAGGAGGAGGCTGTAGTACTGCCTCAAGGAAAAGATTTAAGGTTTTTTATCATGGCCAGCCTGTTCGAAGGTTAGTTTGTAATCCTACTGCTCAAAGAATCCAGATTCAGCAACTTGAAGAGTAGAGGAGGTATCTGCTGGACCTAGGACCAGCTACATAATTTGTAGTGCCCAGTGCCGATGAAAATATGGGCTCTTTCTTTGGCATGGCATGTAAGTCATTTCATGAACCCATCCCTATCTTTTAAGCCTTAGCTTTCAATACACCATGTGATACCCTAATAGCAATGATTTAGTGCCCTGAATTTTCCATGTTGATCCAGACCTTCGTACCTTTGCTGAGAAGCTCCTCGGTATGGAATGCTCTTTCCCATTTTATCTCACCTATCAAAATCTTTAAAATGCTAATTCTCTAGGAGGCTTTAATAACCACACCCACATACTCCTGTATAGCCCCTATATTCCCTAATTCTTTATAATCCTCTCTGAACTCCACATAGACACTCCATAAAAAAGCAGGATATGTTTTCTTACTATACCTTTTTGTAGAGTTGAAAGTAAAATTTATTCTGATATTAATTTCAATTTATTTGTGGGAAATCAGAGCTTCCATGGAGGAAGAAAATTTACTTATTTGCGTGTGTACATCTCCCAAATTGACTGCTAGATTGCACAAGCAAATTTAGGACGGACACCC